TAACCTTAATTTGGAAGATATAAAACAAGAAGAGCAAAGTGAAATTTCATTCATTTCATTCTGAAAGTGAAATAATCATTCTTCTTTAATGAGAATCTGATCCAGTTCTGCAAAGAAATGAGCCTGAAAGAGTAGGGTTCTCATATCATTTCCCATTATCGGAGTTCATGAACAAATTACACCTGATCATTGATTGAAGGGGCTTGATGGCATTTTCTTTTTCAGCAGGGCAGAAGGAAATCATCTTGTATATTCCTAACTCTGTAAGCTACATGAGAGTCCTGAAGTAGAGATGGTTTGGTCTAAGATGTTCAAATGGGATGGGTGGGGCTTTGGTGTCGCTGTACCATTTCTATAGCCTCTTGTGGCAGGTCATGTGATTGTTTCAGTCTCTGTGGCTGTGTTCTGGGATTTGCCACAAATTGGCAAGATTGCACCTGGGTGGGAAACCAAAGGAGTGGATGGATTCATTTTCTTGTTAGGATGTGGAGCGTAAAGTAGCTGTGGGCTCTGTACACATGGTTCCAGCAAGTTACAACTGTTCAACTGAGGGTATTAAAAGGTGGGCTGGTTAGGGTGCCTTTCCTCTTAAGCAGCATGTCTTGTAAAACCTTCCAAGCCTAAAGTAATTGGGACCCCAGGTATCTATCTTTGCAGAAGTGAAGGGTTGCTTCCTGGCCAGTCCATGGCGTAGCATTTGCTTTCAAGAGATTACTCTCTATTTCCTTGACGCTCTCAGGAAGCAACATGGAGGCAATCTATTGGAGAGAGCTGATTTTTTTGGCTAAGGTAAAAGTAGTCATGTTAAGCAAAGAATTCTGAGAATTGTAGGGACAGCGTATCTCCCAAGCAAAAGGAAGGTAAGGTAAGAGACATTTGAGTGACGCCAGATGCAGACTGAGTTTTGGACAATGCAGTTTAACGTAGAAGTGAGCCAGTGCTGACTCCCCAGAAGCATTCCAAGCTGATTAAAGCAAGCCCTTTTTTTCTTCAAACATTAGGCTGCCTGTAACCATTTATAACACTTGGCTCTGAAGTCATATTTTAGTCATAAAGGCACTGTGCAACAGATGATTTCAATCAGTACACTTATAATGCCTTTCATATGCAGACGGGTTTAAAATCAGACTCAATATGTTTAAAATGCCAGATGTTTTTTTAGAATTTTTAGCAACTGACATACAGAAATCTCTTCTGGCAACATTTCAAATGACCTATGTATCTTAGTTTCTTCCATGATTCCATTTATGGAGAAATTGATTCCATCCTCCGTTAGGCATGGCACGGGCCTATTTGTTACAGTTTTTGGATATGTTGGAAAGCTAGTTTTAGTGTTCATAAATAATTCCATGTCAGTCCAATGTAATGTATAGTTTCAGTCCAATGTAATGTATAGTTTCTAGCAGTTATAACACATGTTCTGAGGTAAGCAGTAACAATGATTATGAATGAAGCCATGCTTGAGATCTGCTTGTCTTGAAACTTTTTCTTTCAAAGTTCAATGCAGTTAAGTTGGGATAAGCCCACTTGCTGACTGCAGTAGGTTTGTATTGTTTGTTTCCAGAAGAAGAAAAAAAAAGCAATTTATTTTCTGCCCAGTAAATCTGCTGGCTCGAGCACTGTTACAGAACATACATTTTGCATAGGTCTTAAGTTATATTAGGGTATGGAAAGATTACATTCAAGCTCTTGTACACATTTAATCCTGAGAATGGATTAAGCATGGCCACTACAAAAGGAAGCCGATGGCTGAATTAAGGAAAATGGTAGACTGTTAATCACTGTTGCTTTTCTATATAGGTTAAAACCCAGTGATTAAAGAATAGTCGTACATAAACAGAGCAATATTACATAAATCAATTGGTCTTAATTAAAACCTAATACATATAGCATCTAAACCGTTCATTTTAGATCATTAGACTATAATCGTTTATACTATAACAGTTTGTGCTATAAGCTGCCTGTTTCATGAACAGTTCAGTTCACGTCATTTTGCTATAAATGTATTGCTAAATAAATAACAGTCATTGTTTAAAACACAATGGGCTGGATCTAGAGTTGTGCGGTTCAGCACCTCACAAACCGGATGTTCCAACTGGCAGCAAGGAGTTTCGCTATCTCACTGGCGATGCCTTGTGTCCCTAAAAAAATGGTAGAGGGATAGTGACCAAAATTACACCTCCACCTTAGGCTGGAGTGGGGAATCTGCTTTGAGTCCTATCTGCTTTTCTTTGCGGATTACTCAGTCCAATATCAGTTGATGTTGTTAATTATTAATCTACACAAGTCAGAGTAAGCTGTGATAACTACTTCATAGTGGCTTTTGATATCAGAGCTCTGCAAATCATTCAGAGGGCCCCTTTCTTTGCAAAGCAAAAGAAGTGCCCTTCTGAACCCACTGCTAAGAGGGTTGCGGTGGCTTCATCCCTTCAAAGCTTTGGGATCAGCTTGCTCAGAAGACCAGAAAACAAACTCAAAGCAGCAGTGCTGAGCTTTCAAATAATGCAGCTGCCTCAACACTTTGAACAGTGGGTTCAAAGAAGTGTTTCATAAAGCTCTTTTCTGAATCGTTTAAACAGCCCAATTAAATACTCCTAAGTAGCCAGGAACTAGTTCCTGACAATAACCAATACACAAAGTAGTACTTCTTGAGAGCTATGTACAGGTAGTCCTCATTTAGCAACTGCCCTGTTTAGCAACCATTCACAGTTACGACGGTGATGAAAAAGTAACTTTATGACCAATCCTCATGTTTACAACCTTTGCAGGTCTGTAAGGTAAAGGAAAGCTGAAGTAAGATCTTAAGCACAGTTGTAGTTTCACTTAGTGACCACTTCATTTAGCGAGCAAGTTGCCAGTCCCAATTGTGGTCGCTAAACAAGGACTACCTGTATACTTTCTAAATTCCAACCAGAACTTGGTTGGAACTTGCAATATATTACAAATGATTTATTTTTCTTTGGAAAACCTATAGAAGTTAAATATACAAGGCCAAATGAATTAACACTAGATATAGTTTATATAACAAGATATTGTTCAAAACTTTTTACCATTGATTCAAAGATGTGTTGCCATGCTCAAATTCCCGTTTTTAGTCTAGTTTGTAGTACAGATTGTGCTTTGCTATGAATCTTTCAGGTACTGCTTATAATGAACAATAATGAAGTGAACATGCCACTCTAAAATGTACAGGCAGACCAATAATGGATATTCATTCTTCTGAAATCCAGCCTTTAATGGAAAAGGGTCAGTTGTATATGTATAGACAAGCATCCGTCATCAAAAAAATGTGTTGTATATTTTTTCTTCTATCATGATTGTAATCTTTTCTGGGTACCCAGATAAAGCATCATAGCATGATTTATTTCATTGCAATGCCAAAATGACAAATTTTTATTTTATTTTGGAATTATGTCACTCTTTGCCCCATCAATGAAATAGATCATACGGCCTATAATAATATTATGCTAATACTGGCTTTTTCTCCCCCCCCCCCCTTTCTCTGCTTCTCTCACTCTAGATGGGCTTAGGACATGAAGAAGGATTTGGAGCCCCATGTTTAAAATGTAAAGATAAATGTGAAGGATTTGAACTACATTTCTGGAGGTAAAATAACACACACACACACACACACACAC